TCTGGCTCGCTCCGATGTCGAGGACGCGACGGCAGGTTGAAGGGCAGCTGGTAGTTCATGTAAGTTCAGGGTTCTTCTCGACATTTCATTTGCGCAGGGGCAACGTGCATCGTGCATGGGTGCTGGTTCACAAACGGAGCTGAGCCCCTCAGCCCAAGAGAGGAGGTGCCGAAGCCCAGTTCGCATGTCACGCAGCTTTCCAAATCCGAAGATCCATCAAAGCTTTGAGGGCGAGCGGACAGTGAAACGCGAGGAGGAGAGCAGAGAGGCACCTTGACAAACCTCGCGGCCAGGAGCTCATCTTGGATCTCTGCCGGGACGTCCCCGCCGCCGTGTGGCAGCAGCTCGGGGAGGCTCCGGGTGCGTTCCAGAAGCTCAGGAAGGCGAGCTTCAGATCGCGCCTCGGAGAGCAGAGTGCTTTATTTGCGGCTCCCTTCTTGTTGCATGCAGAACGTGAGAGGATTTTTAAGGCCCTGCGCTTTTCTCTTGCGAGGTGCTTCAATGAACGCTCCAAGGGCGCGGAGGGCGCTGGAGGGCTGCTGTTTGCCTTGAGCCGCTGCCAGCTGCTGCAGGACGTGCGCAGCTTTCTGGGTCTCGTCGGAGCTTCGTTGGGTTTCCTGCGGGTGCTCTGGAGGCACCGAAACCCCCAGCCCACTCTTCGAGGTCGAACCACGAGGTGCTGATGACGATAGTCAAATGCAGGCTCAGTGTTCCGGCTCCGAGTTCCAGCGCACGTAGAGCCTGATTGCAATAGGAGTGAAGTTCCTGGAGCTTCCGACAATTCTGCGAGCCCAAGCTCCGCTGCAGAGCAGAGCACCGGAGACCCCGGCTCTCGGCCGGCCAGGAGCTGAACATGCGTGACTGCTCCCAAGTCCCGGCGGCCGCCTGGCAGCTGCTGGCGACGGCCCGCTGGGAGCAGCTCCGGAAGGCGGACTTCACTTTGCGCCTCGGAGAGGGCGCGGCTGTGTTGAAGGGTGGGGGGGATTTTTTCTATCAGAGGAGGCTTCGGCTCGGTCAGAGGAGGCGGGTTCCAAGGCCTCCTCTGTTTTGTCAGAGACCCGTCTGCTGCTACCGAAGTGCCGCCGAAGCGATCGAGGTGCTTCAATCAACGCTCCAAGGGGGTCGAGGGCGCCGAAGGGCTTCTGTTGGCCTTGAGCCGCTGCCGGCAGCTGCAGGACGGGACTGCCAGCACCCGCACAAGATCTAGTCTTGCCGGTCTTGCTACTGACGTTCAGTTGTACCGAGCTCCGGGGGCTTGCACGGGCAGAAGGCGAATGAAAGAAGAAACACACATTGGGAGCCTTTTGGCCTTAGGCCAGGGCCGAGCACTCCCGGGCATTGGGGGTTGCACCCAAGCCACGGAACCGCGGCGACTGGCCCAAAAGGTCGACATGCGAGGGCCAGCAGCTCACCTCACGTCAATTGAGCGAGGTGTCGCGGCTTAACACGGAGTGCTGCCCGCTGTGTACTTTCGAGGGGAAGCCGTGGTACCCGGGGCCGCGGTGGCGGTTCTATGCCCAAAACAGCCCTAGGAAGCTTCTGGGCGCTCTCCTCTCCACTCCTCGGCTCTCCACTCCTCTCCATTCATTTCCTTTCCACTCTTCTCCACTCCCCGGCTCCCTCTCCTCTGGGCTTCTTGCGGCCCTGGCCCGCTGCCCTGAGCTGGAGCATGCGGTCGCAGTCGCATTGCACCCCAAAAGCCCCAGCGATGATGAGGACGATGGTGACAACAACGATGAGTTGTTGGTGGTGGTGGTGATGCCTGTGATGATGAGTCGCGGTATCGTGATGAGTATACTGTTTGTAGGTTTAAATCGTATTCTGCCGATCACCGATCTTGCCGATGCCGCAATTCTTGGTGAGGGCTAAATGAGCTTTGGTGCTCATCCGTAAATGTCCCGCAGCACGCTCCGGATCCCTGAACGCAAGAGGCCCAAGAACCACTCGTAAGCTCTACGACTCTTCGAGCCCTCGTTCGCCTTCATGCACGGCCGGCTGGAGGGAGAGAGTTCTTCCTGTAGGTTTTCAGGGAATGCCCATCAAATCGCCGCGCGAAGTGTGGAAATTCTGTCGAGAAGACAGGCAGGCACCTAACTTGAAGCGAATGTAGTGGTTCAGGAACGCTTCGAAGGGCGTCTTTCTTTTTCCTGTTGGGGGCCGAAGAGTTGGATCTTCGTGCGCAGCAACATGTCGCCAAGAAGGTGTGCATTGCGACTGCCCCACCCTCGCCCATGCGAAGAAGGGAAACGTCCTCGCACTCGGAACTCTCCAGGGTTCACGCCCATTTTGAGCCTCCGGAGTTTCAGAGCCTCGTGTCGGGACATCTCGTTCACAAGACTGTGTCATCTCTTCCTAACCTCAGCTGGTTCCCGGTGTCGACGGCTCGAAAGCGCAAGCAGCGGCCTCGCAAGTCCACTGCCGGTCATTCTTGCCCCTGGGTTTTGCCCGAAACAGGCGGGGGAGGAACCAATCCGACCCGGGCGGCCAGGACCTCTCCATGTACTGCTGCGATCAAATTCCGGCTG